TCCGACAAGCCAGGTCAAGGGGAGCACGCTTAACGATCATGCGCTCCGCTTAACGACTGCCATGATCCGTTTAAGAACTGTGAGAAAAGAAAAAGTTGCAGAACTGGGCGCGACTTGCCTTTAACGCCTGCCTCGCTCAGCAACCGGAATTTCCATCCCGATTCCATCGTAAGTCGAGCAAGGAAATGCCAGGACATGTTTTCATGCACGCAACAGGTGGGAAGTTTAAAACGGGAAAGGAAGAGACGGGTTGATCTCCTGACAAGATTCCCCAAGATCCCTTCCCTGCTTCCTAGATGCATCTGGGTGGCTCCAGGCTTCATCAGCACACAAGTCACATCTGCCCTTGTCCAGAGGAATACACGCAGCCCCGCACGTTGCAAGCACACACGGACCAGGTTATTAAAATCAGGAGGGTTGTGGGTCTCTGAGAATTTGGGGACGCCAAGGGCAGACCCCAGAAGTCACACACACACAAACACACACACACCCCTCTGCAAATTTAGGGGAGCGGCTTTAAAGCTGGAGAATTTCCCAGGGATGCACAGAAAACGCGATTTGGGAAGGAACGGACTGGACACTCACTGCGCCCCGGTTCCTAAAACAAAACAAAAAAGAGATTTTGCAGAAATTCAGTTTACGCGGGCGGTGTGGAAAACGGGCCAGATTTCGTTCAAATGGAGGATGGAATACGGGAGAAAGATTCCAGAGTGGTGGAAAAGAAATGAAAGATCAGCCAGACCCCGGGGAAGGTGGGCTTTCCCACCTGTGTCCCACGTGGGCCTCGGAGAAACATCGCCGGCGGAAGGAACGCCGGCATGAAGCAAGGACCGATCTAGTTTACTGGAGCACGTTGGCGCAGACACACACCCCTGTCGCAGGAACCAGGGCACAAACGGAGAGCGGGGTCCAGGGGAGCTGCGCCAGGCCTCTGGGAAGAAGAAGAAGGGGAGCCCCCCAAAAACCGAGGCTTGTGTCCCGGTGAACCCCCCTCAGAAGATCCGCAACCCAACGAGGGCGAGCGGGCACCGCCGTCCAGCAGAACAAAGAGAGAAGGCTGTTTGCAGAGCAAATGTGCACGCGCTCGCTGGAAAGTCTATCCTGAATGGGCCGTAAATCATCGGCCCAAATCCGAAGGGATGGACTAGAAGAAAGAAGAGGTCTGGGAGAAGAGGAAGATTCGGTTTTTTTTCCCCGCGGCAGGAAAAAAAATAAAATTCTGGCACCCTAAAGATTTGCGTCTTCGGCGGACCCCGTTTGGGGACGTTCGGCATCCAGCACCAGAAGGGAGGCCTAACAACCAGCTGAGTTTATAGCCCCCCCACCCGTTTTAGGATCGGGCCCACGAAGACCCACTCCCAACCCTAAACCCAGCGCCCGGGGAGGCCGCCCGGCTGCAGCGAAGCCGGCATTGCCGCACTGCTTCGCCATAAATATCCACGATACGCTGGCAACTCAGCTCTGCGGCAGGCGCGACCGTGTTTCTCCATGTGCATTTCAGCCGCCCAGGATGGACCGATGCCGTTGGGGTGTCATAGGGCCAGAGTTGGAGATGGGACCCCGACTAGGATAGGGGTGACCCCCACGGAAGGAGGGGTGTTCCCCCCCCCCAGGGACCTCTGACCTGGTGGGCCCTCAGCATCGTTCCGGCGGTCCGGGCACGTTGGAAGAGTTTCACCTGAGCATCTCCTTAGCAACCGTCCTCGGCAGGCCAAGTTAGCAAAGGTTCCACCGGCGAGGCGGATGAAAAGAGGAGGAGGGGGGGAGAAAAATATGGCCCCCGCCTCACGCTCTCTGCCATTGTTCGGTGCCCGCCATAGCCCAATTCACAGGCTGAATTTATGGGCGCCGGGCTTCCGCCTCAGGGGACATTCTCAAAGGCAAGGGGGCTCCCCAGACTTGGTGAAACTGGAGGGACGCGGACGGAGGGCGTGAGAGCCAGACGCGCAAGGACAGAGGGACGGACGGCCGGACGAGGCAGGCGAGACACACCAGGCCGGGCTCAAGAGAGGGCGGGAGACTACAAATGGCAGCCAGGCACGGAGGGATTCTCCGAGGGTGCCCACTTTGTTTAAGCCTCTCTGGTTCCTGCGCAGGAGCCGGGAGGGAGTGGGCAGCCCCACGGCAGGTGTGTTGGGGAGGACATCACCAACAAGGTTGCCTGGAGGCGGGTGGCACCTGTGCCACCTTTGTGCAGGTTGAAAAGAAAGGACAGGCTGCGCGAACGGCGCTGCCACCCTCCTTCACCTGGCATGTGGTTTTTTTTTTCCCCTGTGGCTCTGCATGGAGCTTTGGCGTGCAGCCCCCCCTCCCGTTCTCACGGCCCTCCTCCCCAATCCGGTTCCCTGCGGCTTCCCTTGGCAGCCATGACAATCCCCAAATTATGGCTTCAACCGTTGATTCATTATCCATCTACATAGCAAGAGAAAGAGTGCCGGAGGAAGGGGGAATATTATCCGGGTCTCCGTGAAGGGCAAAAAAAGCGCTTTTTTTTTTTTTTGGTTTCTTAACTATTTGGGGCAAAGGGAATGTGGATGGATGGATGGATTCTGGGATTGGTGGTGGTGCTGCTGCTGAACTACAACTCCCAGAGTTCCCAGCCAGGCTGAGAGAGAGGGAGACGAAAGGCAGTTCCACAGTGGGGAAAGAGGGAGGGGGGGAATATGGTGTCTGCCCTCCAGAGGGGAATTTGGTCTGCAGCCCTTGGGGGTAGGTGGGGGGGGGAGCAAAGCAGCTTCTCACTCACCGTGGGTTTTGCCCTGGTGGAAGGAAGGGAGAAAGAGGGAGGGAAGGAAGGAAGGAAGGAAGGAAGGAAGGAAGGAAGGAAGGAAGGAAGGAAGGAAGGAAGGAAGGAAGGAAGGAAGGAAGAAGGGAGGGAGGGAGGAAGGGGTGGAATTTGGGAGAGAGGGAAGAAGGGGTGTAACGTGGGAAGGAAGAAAGGAAGGAAATGGAGCATAGGAAGGAAGGAAGGAAGGAAGGAAGGAAGGAAGGAAGGAAGGAAGGAAGGAAAGAAGGAAAGTGGGCAAAAAGTAGGGAGATAGGAAGGAAGGAGAGGGAGGAAGGAAGGAAAAGTGTAAAAAAGAAGGGAGGGAGGGAGAAAGGAAGGAGAGGCAGAGGGATGGGGAAGGAAGGAAAAGCGTGTGAAAGAATGGAGGGAAGGAAGGAAGGAGAATGGGAGGAAGAAAAGAGGGAAGAAGAAAGGGAGGAGTGGAAGGAAGGAGGGAAGGAGAGAGAAAGGAGACGGGGAGGGAGGAGGAGAGAAGAACGGAAGGAAGCAAAGTAGGAAAGAGAGGGAGGGAGCAAATAAAGAAGGATCTTATCTGTCCCCCCCCCAAAGGAGCTGGGGGGGGGAGGTCAGCCTTCCAGCCAGCCCATAGACAGGAGGTTGGTTCACCTCGGACACTCACTCACCCACTGGGCTTGTACCACCCCAAGAACCCCCCCCCTCCTCCTTCACTTTCTCCCTTGCACTTTCCTTCCCATGCCAAGCAGCCCTCTAGGGAGGCCAGCCCAGGACTCTGACCAGAAACACCAGGGGGAAGCAGCTTGGTGATGAGCTGGGTGGGTGGGAGTGTCTGCCTGTGTATGGAAGTTAAAACACCCCCCCATCGGGGTTTTTTTTTTTTGGCCAGACTTTGCCAGGAGAGGCTCCCAGGCTCCTCGCTGCCAGTTTTGCCCAGGGAGGGGATCTCTTGGGCAAGGCAGATGGAAGACGCCTTTGCCTAAGGGCAGCCAGGGAGAGAAAGCTGCAATGGGGGGGGCCGGGGCGGGGCATCCCCGACCCTTGAAGCCCCCCCCCACCGCTCAATTGCAGCCCCCCACCCACCCACAGCCCCGGGGCCGCTTCTCCCTCCCCAGGGCCGGCTGGAAATACACCACCTCGCCCAATTTCCTCCTCCCCCCCCCGACGCCTGGCAATTGCCTGGGCACGTGGCACGGGGTGCCCTGGGGGGGGAGGGCAGCGAGGCCAGGAGCGCCCCGTTCTTCTTCCCCTCCCCACCCGCCCGTGGGTGCAAGGCAGCGGGGTGCCAGCACCCCCCCCTCCACTCCGACTCTGCCGTCTACTCTTGAGTCGCGCCTGGCTTCAAGGAAAGAGGGAGAGGAGGAGGAAGAAGGAAGAAAAAAAAAATTCCAGGGAAAATAGGTCATGACACGCGCGCTCCGACGCACAAAGCCCCCCCCCGATCGCCGCCCGGAGACCCGCCCGTCGCGCCCCCCCCCCGCGACAAGGGGGTCCCCGCCTGGGCTCGCAGGGTATCGGTGGGGCAGGAGGAGGGGGAGCGCCTCCCAGCCGGGGCCACGAGTTCTCCCCCCGCCCCAACTATTCCTCCGTTGCAGAGCAAAGGACGCGCGTTCACACGACACGCTTCCCCCCCCCCGTCCCCGTCCCGCCAGCCGCGGGAAGTCTTTCCCCGCGGTTACCCGGTCCGCGCGGAACAGCTGCCGGGCGAGAGAAGCGGCGCCCGAAGGAAGGAAGGAAGGAAGGAAGATTGGAGGGGGAAGGAAGGAAGGAAGGAAGGAAGGAAGGAAGGAAGGAAGGAAGGAAGGAAGGAAGGAAGGAAGGACTGATGGTTTTGGGCCAAGCTACACCCGCATCCCCGCCGCCCCCGGCCGGCTGCAAATCCCTCATCTTCAGTTCTGGAGAGGCCAGCAAGCCTTGACTTTGGCGGGGAGTGGGGGGTCGGGAACAGAGACAGAGAGAGAGCTGGAGCAAGTGAGGGCGGGGGAGGGACGGGGGAAGGGGCGGGGGTCCCCGTCCAGACAGCCGCCAGACGGGGTGGGGGGGTGGGTGGGGAGGGCTGTCAAAAGCTGAGCATGGCAGGCGAGAAGGGTCTTGTCGGGGGGGAGATGAAATGGGGGGACCCTCCCTGCATCACGCAGCCCCGGGGATCCCCTCATGCACGCCCGCTCCCAGACCCCCCCGGGACCCCCTCCCCAATTTGTTCAGCCATCCGCGCGCCCTCCTCCAGTCCGTCCCCCCGGGGCCCCGGGGCACTCACTGCGGGTTGGAGCTGTTCCAATGCACGGCGTGCCGGTTGCCGAAGCTGCCGCGGCAGAGCAGCAGGACCAGCAGCTGCAGCAGGAGCAGCGGCGGCGAGGGCGGCGGGCAGAGGCGAGGCAGCGAGAGCCGGGCCATCCCGCCAGGCGACGTCCCGGCCGCCAGCCACCGCGCCGACGGGAGCCCGCTCCCGGTGCGCAACCCCAGCAGGAGAGGAGCGGGAGACCAGCCGCGGAGATCGTCGCCGCTCCCGCTGCTGCTGGCTGCTGCCGCCGAAGCCCGAAGCCTCCAGCGCCGCCCCGGCTCCTCCTCGCGCGCCCCCGGCCCGGGACCGCCCCCTCGTGCTGCCTGCGCGTGCCCGCCCCCCTCCCTCCCCGCGCGCCCGCGCGGGCTAGGCTCGCTCGCTCCCGCGCCGTTTTCCCACGGGCTTCCCCCACGCTGCTGCGCCTTCGCTGCTTCTCTCGGCTCTAGCCAGCCCCGGAGAGGGCGGAGACAAGAGCGGGGTGGGCGGGGTTGGGGCAGCTATCGAGGCCACGCCCCCCCGGGGGACCCTCCGCTAAACCCCTTTCCTCCCCCCCCAATTTCCCTGACCCAAGTGGGAGGGGAAAAAAACGAAACCCTTTCCAGATGTTTCTTCTCCATCACCACCACCATCACCCCGTTTCTATGGGGCTCCGTCAGTGACTCAGGGGGTCGTCGACGGACCGCATTTCATTTAGTGACCGTCCAGAGTCCAAAGTTACGACGGCACTGAGAAAAGGGACTGTTTATTCTATTCTATTCTATTCTCTATTTTATATTCTATTCTATTCTCTATTTTCTATTCTTCATTATTCTATTCTATACTATTCTATTCTATTCTATTCTATTCTATTCTATTCTATTCTATTCTATTCTATTCTATTCTAATTCTCACAGATAACCTGAACCTGTTACTTGAACATTTTTGAGCTTTCAAGAAGAGACCCGACTGCCATCTGTTCAGAAACGATGTAGGGTCTCCTGCTTGGCCCAATGGGTTGGACTAGATGACCTCCAAGGTCCCTTCCAACTCTGTTACTCTTATTCTAGTCTATTCAGCCTTGGAAGCGGATCCAAGCAGGCCAGCATCAGGGCTGGGCCACCCAGCCTCTCCGTGCACCCAAAAGTGCTGAGCTAGGAAGCCGGGCGACGGATGCCCGCCTGCCCACCCAGTGGGGAGACTCCCCACCCGCCGGGGGGGCGGCCGTGCCCAAACACGCCGAGCTGTGGTCGAGTTGGACGCGGCACGTCAGGAATGCAGCCAAAAGCCCCAGGCCAAGGTGGGACCCATGTCCTATGCTGGAGAAGCTGGCCCCAGCCTTGTATTTTTTTTTTTTTTTTGCCAAAGTTTTTATGTGATTCCCAAAGTTAAAATACAAAACAAATAGGAAAAAGAAGAAACGAACTACAGACTCAAGTTGCAACGCTTCATTTAGTGACTGTTCAAAGCTACAACAGCACTGGAAAAAAACTGTTTTTTCCCCACTTAACGACCCACCGTCACGTGATCAAAATTCAGGGGCTTGGCTACTGACTCGCATTTACGACGGTCGCAGCGTCCCGATCCCCCTTTCATGACCCTCTTACAAGCAGAGTTAAGAGGGAAAGCCAGAAGCATGTCTCAATTATGTTATTAACTTCTACAACTGCAGTGCTCCCCTTCACAACAGTGGCAAGAAAAGATTGTAAGCGGGGTCAAAATTCGCTTAAGAAATGTCTTGTTTAGAGGCAAAAAAACTGGGGTTCAATTGGGGTCGTACGTCCTGTAACAACCAGCAGACACTAATAATAATAAACCCCACCACTTGTATAAAAAACCTCGCAATAAATAATGTCTCCCTTCTTTGCCAAAACAAGCTCTGTTTTTTTTAAAAAAAAAATACGTGTGTATCGCTCGGCATGCCTTGCACGCAGATCTGGCTTTGGACCCGTTTCCCCCCCAAAAAAAAACCGGGAGGAAATTGATTCTCCATCCGATCAAATTGTGCCCCTGGCTATCCGGACAGCTGCGCTCAATCTGCACCCCCAAAACCCGTTCAGGGTCTATATTTTTTTGCAAATGGCACCTTTGCAAAGCAGGAAAGGTGGCTTCCCACACCATTTTGGCTGGCTGCTCTTGAAAACCCAGATCCTGGCCTGACGGACAAACCTTTACGGACGTGTTGTTGCAAGGATATAACCTGCATCGGCTGGGCTTTTGCAAACACATGTTGGAGGCTGCCGACTGGACTAAAAATCCTGTTTTTTTGCAGGCCTCTTGCCAGCTGGAGAAATGTTGACTTCTAATTTGATTTCGTTCCTTGGCCTACCAAGGGATCAAACATGGTTTGATCCTTCTGTAAATGGCAATAGCCTGGATTGCACCAAGCCTGGGTTGATTAACCTAAGGGTTCCTGTAACAAGCCTAGTTCAAAGCAAGCCGCTATCAATGTCTTGGCTAGACACTGGGGTAGGCAAGGCCCTGATAGGAGAGCACCAGGGGCTTCCTCCCGGCTGAAACAAATCACAGAAGCGGTGGAGCTGGAAGGAACCCTAAAGGTCATCTAGTCCAGCATGCCGCCAAGCGCGGAAAAACTGCTTAACCATCCAAGCCTGGTCTTCTGAGCAGGGGGTTGGACTAGGTGACCCCCAAGGTCCCATCCAACTCCATTATTCTGTCTCTGAGCAGGGGGTGGGACTAGATGACCCCCAAGGTCCCATCCAACTCCATTATTCTGTCTCTGAGCAGGGGGTGGGTCTAGATGACCTCCGAGATCCCGCCCAACTCTGTTATTCTGTCTTTGAGCTGGGGGTGGGACTAGATGACCTCCAAGGTCCCTCCCCAACCTTGTTATTCTGTCTTCTGAGCAGGAGGGTGGGACTAGATGACCTCCGAGCTCCCTTCTACCTTAATTCTGAAATTAAGCTTGTTCACAGCAGCCTTCTGCCCTCTTCTTCTGCCGCTGTTTTATCCACACAACGCACAACTTGTTTGCTTCCTCCTCCTCCTCCTCGTAGCTGGCTGCTAGCCAACCCACTGATTCATCCCCCCCACCCCACCCCCCCCAGGACCTACTAGGACACGACCTTGTGCCCTGCCCGAACACGCCCCGTGCCAGCTTCACCCTTGGACTGTGGTTGCTGGCATCAACTTTCCCTGTTAAATGAACAACTATTTCCTTCTTAGATTATCATCGCTCTTTGCCGTTGCGCAAAGAGAAAGTTAAAAGCTTTTTTTTAATATATATATATATATATATATATATATATATATATATATATATATATATATATATATATATATATTCTTTTCGCAGTGGCCTTGAGTTGGAAAGCTTCCCTTTGGCTAGGAAAGGGGGGCGGCGTCTCCCCCTCCCCATTTTTGGCTGCCTGGATGGAACCCAACCAGGGGTCAGGCAAGGCCTTTATTATAGGAGGGGTTTTATGTCTATCTTGTGGGGTAAGGATTAGCAGTCCCAAACCTCTGGCAATTCTATTTGAGATGTATTTCCTGGCTTCTGATCTTTTATTTCCCTTTCTCTCTGTTTCCTTCCTTCCTTCCTTGTCTATCTTTCTCTCTTTCCCTTTCTTCTTTCCTTGTGTGTCTTTCTCTTTTCCTTCCTTCCTTCTTTCCTTCTGTTTTCCTTTCTTCCCTCTTTGCCTATCTTTCTCTTTTCCTTCCTTCCTTCCTGTTGTCCTTCCTTCTTTTTCTACCTTTCTCTTTTCCTTCTTTCCTTGTGTATCTTCCTTCCTTCCTTCCTTCCTTCCTTCCTTCCTTCCTTCCTTCCTTTTCCTTCCTTCCTTCCTTCCATCCATCCATTCATCCTTCTGTTTTCCTTCCTTCTTTGCCTATCTCTTTCTCTCTTTTCCTTCCTTCCATCCATCCATCCATCTGTTTTCCTTTGCCTTTGTTTTTTTCTCTTTTCCTTTGTTTGATCGTTCCTTCCTTCCTTTCCTCCCTCTTCTAAGTTTAATACCTCCCTCCCCCCACTCCTCCTGCCCCCCCCCAGAGGCTGCCTTTCCCCCCCCCTTCACCCAGCCCACTCTTCTGATTGCCTTCAAATCCCTCTTTCCACTCCATGTTTTTCTCCTGATCCACTGCTGACAACTTGATCCTATCTGCCCAAGGATGAGTAACACCAACTCTGCCAGGCCCTGTGGGCTCTTTAGCCCCCCTCCCCCTTCCCTCCCCCCTTCGCGCTCCCCCCCTCTCCCAGCCAAAACCCCGGCTTGCGCAATTCAAGGCAGTGGGGCAGTCCCAAGTGCCTTCAACAGGTATGATGACTTGCCAAGTTCAAGGTAATGGGAAAGGGAAATGACACACCCACGCACACCCACTGTGTGTTTTTGTGTGTGTGTATGTGTGTATGAGAAAACTGGCCTCCTTCCTCCCCTTCACACGTTCCCCTGCTCATCTCCCAGGTTAGTCAAACCATGTTTGCTGAAGGTTAATTGCGGGCTATAAAAACGGCTTTACTGTTTACGGATCTCCTCCATATTTTGGTTTCAAGTTCAAGGTGGCAAAGGTAAGATTTTTCCCTCATGTTATTTCGTCCCAACAACGACCCTGCGAGGTAGGCCAGGCCAAAGTTGCTCGACCCCAAGGCCATCCAACACTCCCACCTGGCCAGCTTCCGGTCCTGGATCCCGACCCCAAACCAAGACGGTTACAAGGCCGGACGGTGCCATTCGCACATGCAGAGCGTGTCCCTTTTCCATGGGTTTAGCCGGCTCTCCCTCCCACCAACCCTTGTTGGGTTCCCGGGAGCCTTGATCTTCCTCGCCAAACCCGGAAAACGGATTACTGTCCTTCCCCTAACCCAGTTAAGTGCGTTTTTGCGCAAACCTGGGCTTGCTGCCTCGTCGGAAAATGAAATCAAGAAAGTTGGCAGGAACTTTGTGGGTCCAAATTTGATTTGATTGGAGTTGGGAGATGGCAAGTTCCGGGGGCAGGGTGGAGTGGGGTGACTTTGAAAAAGAGAACCCCAGGAAGAAAAAAAAAAGAAGTGCCCCCCCCACCCCTCGCCAGCTGGTAACTGATGTGTGGGGAGCTGGGGTGGGGTGTGTCTGGCTGTCGGAAACAACCCCGAAGTACCAAAAAAAAAAAAAAATAAAATCCATGAATTATTCATCCTGGGGAAGTGAAGTGTACAAAACGCAACCCAGGGAAAAAAAAACAAGCTTTAAAGGGCTGATGGGGATGGGGGGGGGAGAGGTGAGGAGGGGGGAAAGAGGGAGGTGGGGGCTTGGTGGGGGGGGAAGAGTGAGGCATGCTTACATGCTTTGGTGGGTGCAGAACATGTGGGAAGCCACTGCGCATTAACCTGCTCCATGCCAGGTGCATGCCAAAGTTAA